GAATGGAGGAGAAGGGATTGCGGCATGGCCATCCCCCCTGGGGGGTGATTTCTCGCTTTCTGTCTCTCTGTCTCTCTCTGTCTTTCTGGTGAGCGCACGAGCCCTATAGCAAAAACCTCTCAAAAAAAACCAAAAAAAAACCTGCTAAAATGAAAAGAATAAATAAATAAAACAAAGGCTGCTTGAGTGTCCTCATGACATGGCAATGGCTTCCCCTAAAGCAACTAATCCTAGAAAGAGAACAACTAGAAGCCATAAAGTCTTTATGACCTAGCCGCAGAGGTCATACACGGTCATTACTGCAATACCCACTATTTAGATAAGTGAGCTCCATTCAGGAGTCTTTATGACCTAGCCGCAGAGGTCATACATGGTCATTACTGCAATACCCCACTATTTAGATAAGCGAGCTCCATTCAGTATGGGAGAGCACTATGCAAGGCTGTCAGTGCCAGGAGACGACGGGTCACTGGGGCCATCCTGAAGGCTGGCACTCACAGTAGTACTTCTCTGAGTTTGTGTTTCCCTACTGTAAAAATGGAGCTAGTTATTTTGATGTTGCTTATTAGTTCACCCACTCGAAAAGATGTGTAAATACTTAACATATTCTGTGACAAGACTGTCGTAGGTGCTGAGGATTCAATGGAAAACAAAAAAGTCATCACACTGACTGGCCTGTCTTTATGGACCTTGGAGTTTAAGGGAGAGGGGGGGCAGACTGATAGTTAATTGGGGGTTGGGAGTGGATATGCTCAGACTGAAACTATACTCCAGCTACTAATTCCTCATCATACCCCCTCTACCCTTCCCCACCTATGCTCAAGAAACTTCTGAGTTAACAGCAAACATGGGGAGAGGGGCAATCCCATAGCCTAGTGGTTAAGTGAGTCAGATCCCACATGGCTGACCATGTGGTTGGAATCCCTACCCCAAAGACTTGGAATACATACCAGGGAAGTATGTATGTGTGCCCCAAATCTTGACAGGATGGAAAAATGGAGAAAAAGAGATTGTGATGTGACTACATCTGGTTGGGGATGCTTTCTCTCTCTCCCTCTTTCTCTGTCTCTCTCTGGTGAGCACACAGGCCCTCTGGCAACTAAAGAAAATAATAATAAAATGGAAGATAGAAAGAGAAATTGGTCATTTAAAAATTTTTTAAGGATCTGGAACCAACAGTTAGCATAATAGCTATGCTGCTGGACTCCCACATAGTCGACCATGGTTCGAGTCCCGGACCCAGTGGCTTAAACTCACGCCGGGCACGTGTGTGTGCATGCCCAAGATCCCAAGAGGAGAATGGAGGAGAGGGGATTGCGGCGTGGCCATTCCCCTTGGAGGGTGATTTCTCGCTTTTTGTCTCTCTGTCTCTCTGTCTGTCTGGCAAGTGTACACTCCCTATAGCAAAAATGTCTGAAAAATATTTTTTTTTTATGGAATCTCTACCATCAAGTAATTGAATCTAAATTCCATTTAATACCTTTCTTAATCTTAATCCTTACCTGAATTTCTTACTCTCTCCAGTATAAGCTCTCATCTGGTTCAGCTAGTTTCCTTACTCTTCTGCAAACATATTTGTACATTTCCCTATTTAAGTTTTGATCACATAAAAGTCCCTACAAAAACTGGATATTGAAGATTCCTCATGGATCCTGTGAACTAGTCAGTTCAGGGTAGAAGAGAAATGAAGATTTTCTACTGATAATTCAGCCTCCAGCAAACAAGCTAGCGTGGCAGGAGAGGCGAGGCCTTTAGAAGAAGATTCCTCATGGCTTCTGCGAACTAGTCAGTTCAGGGTACAAGAGAAATGAAGATTTTCTACTGATAATTCAGCCTCCAGCAAACAAGTTAGTGTGATTGAACTTCAAGAATTAGAAAGAAACACACCATCCATCAGATGACAAGAAATAACCGCAGGACCACAAGAAATATGGGAAAACAAGATAATACCTCTCTTCCAAAGGAAAAGAATAACTCCTCTTCATCCACAAGCAGTTCAATGAAAATAATGGAAATGTCTGATAAAGAATTTAGAGCATTCATTAATGGTGAAGCCAATAGAGATGGAAGAGAAGAGAGACAATGAACTGCTAAAGAGAAAGGAGAAAGAAGTTGACGAGTTCCAGGAGGTGAGGAAATTCTTGCAAGATCTAAAGGAGGAATTACATGCTTTACAAAAGAATCAAACGGAACTGTTAGAAATGAAGTCTATAATACAGAAAGTCAAAATCTCCCTTGAAAGTATTCAAAGCAGACTAGATCATACAGAAAATAGAATCTTAGACATAGAAGAGAAAATTGCAGGCCTAGAAAAATCCACCATAAAGACTGAGAAAATGGCCCCAAAATTTGAGAATAATATAC